TTTCTGTTATAGTCTTTTGAGATAGTACAAATAAAATAAATTCTTTTCACCCTTCTCCAAACACTGTTCCCAATCTCTACTCCAGCACTGCATTTAGATGTTCCTTGGCTGTCCCAACTTTGTAGCGGCCATCTTGGCATGCTCTTTTCTCTGTTGTAGCATAGAGAGCAAGCTTGGGATTTCTACAGGAGAGTGGCATTCTCCCCTGGAACCTCGCCAAGTGCTTGCTTTGCTGCCCCTCCAAGGTGGCTTTTGGCTCCGTTTGGAGCCCACAAATGGCGAGAAGCCAGCGCAGGAACAGAGACCTCCCTTTGGTCTCGTCATGATGTCAGCTGGAGGTTCATTGTGGCCACTTCAATGCTGCCATGCTGCTGGTGCATTTCATTGCTGTAGTCAGCTGCAATCATGTCCTTTCAAATATTCCCTGCAAGTTTTCACACAAGGAGAAGCCCCCAGTCAGTTCCTATTGTTTTTTATTCAGCCATAGTTTTTCTATTTCTTCTATCTATTCCCTTAACAGACCATAACAGAAAACTCACTTAATATATCTCATGAGATCATTGGCCACATACATTGAAAATTGGAAAAATTCCCAGAGCAGGAATCTGAAAATTATTATAAGAAAATGTATACCTACCAATAGAATATAACTCTTCAGTACTCTTCAATATCTTCATTAACGACTTAGATGAGGGAATACAAGGGGAACTTACCAAACTTGCAGATGATACTAAGCTGGCAGGAATAGCTAACACCCAAGAAGATAGGCTCAAGATCCAGATGGATTTTGACAGATGAGAACACTGGGCCGTATCCAACAAAATGAAATTCAATGTAGAGAAAAGTAAAGTCCTACACTTAGGCAAGAAAAACCAAAAGTACACATATAGACTGGGTGAAACCAGGATCAATAGCAGTAACTGTGAGAGGGGTTTTGGAGTCTTAGTGCACAACCAGCTAAATATGAGCCAGCAGTGTGCAGCAGCAGCCAAAAAAGCTAATGCAATCCTAAATTGCATTAACAGAGGGATACAATCAAGATCAAGGGAGGTACTAATACCACTCTATAAAGCCTTAGTAAGATCACACCTAGAGTACTGCATCCAGTTTTGGTCACCACATTATAAAAAAGATGTTGTGACTCTAGAAAAATGTACAGAGAAGAGCAACCAGGATGATTAGGGGACTGGAGGCTAAAACATATGAAGAACGATTACAGGAACTGGGCTTGGCTAGTCTAGTAAAGAGAAGGACCAGGGGAGACATGATAGCAGTCTTCCAATATTTGAGGGGCTGCCACAGAGAGTAACGGGTCAAGCTATTTTCTAATGCACCTCTAGGCCAGACAAGGAATAATGGATGGAAACTGAACAAGGAGAGATTTAACCTGGAAATAAGGAGAAATTTTCTGACAGTGAGAACAATCAACCAATGGAACATCTTGCCCTTGGAAGTTGTGGGAGCATCATCACTTGAGATTTTCAAGAAGAGATTGGACTGCCATCTTTCAAAATGGTGTAGGGTCTCCTGCTTGGGTGGGGGTTGGACTAGATGACCTACAAAGTTCCTTCCAACTCTGATTATTTGTTATCTGTTATAACAACAGATTTCAACAAAGTTATCAAAATGGTAGAGGTAAGAGCACCAAAATTAAAGCAAGTAAGTGAGTGGTGGGATTCAAAAAAATTTACTATCAGTTCTGTGGTATGGCTTTATGGATGTGGCTTTGTGGACATGGCAAGGGAAGGATACTGTAAAATCTCCATTTCCTCCCCATTCCTAGGGAAAAGTTACTACAAATTCCCACCACCACCTCCTTATTAACCTGCTTTTCAGTTCCATTCTCTTGTGCAGGGCAACAAAAGAAGACCCAGCCAATTAGCTGGGACTTAGGAGGCAGCGAATAGATGGGGTGGGGCCAGTCAGAGGTGGTATTTTCCGGTTCTCCAAACTACTCAAAATTTCCACTACCAGTTCTCCAGAACTGGTCAGAATCTGCTGAATATCACCTCTGGAGTAAGTATATTTTGGGGACAATAATTTTATTCTCAAAATATAATATTTATAAATAGTTGCACTTCTGCTGTTATAATAACCAATTATTACAAACCATGTCATGTTAACTTTGTTCATCCCAATGTGCATAGCTAAAAATCTATGGAGATTCTCAGTCATTCAGGTCATAGTTGTCCCAAAAGAACTTTTTCGGGAGGCATGGTTGTAGATGACTGAGAATCTCCATAGACTTTTAGCTATGCACTTTGGGATGAACACCCTTCAAATGGTATGGGAGTATGAACAGATTTCCAGAAAAATTGCAGACTACAGGAACCATTTCTTGCAAACTATCAAGCCATCAGTTTGAGATGCAGACAACACAGATTCATCCCCAACAGCCTGCACCTGTCTTCAGCAGTGAAGAAACACAAGGCAGAAAACATCCTGCAGTCAAGAAGGCTCCACACCCATTTGTACTACTCAGGTGACCCTGAGAACACAGATAAAGCCCAATGACCTTAATGACTCTGTAAAAGAATGCAAATGACCAGCTATCTGAAAGGCATATAAATCTTTCCATTCCCCACCGTCCAGTTAGAGCTGAAAAAAAAGTGAGAAGCGAAATGCATTTGAAGGAAAACAAGAAAGTCCAGTTGCCTGCTGAAAAAGCACCTTTGGGACAACCATGACTTGGATGACTGAGTATCTCCCTAAACTTATACTGTCTCCCTAGACTTATATGACTATTCACACTTTGCTTGGAAACTCCCAGCAAAGGGGAAGAAAGTATTCCATGCAGTATCCTATTCCATTGGTGAACAGCTCTTACTGACAATAGCATATTCTTAATTTCTAATCTGTATCTACATCTTTGATGTTTCATCCTGTTACTTCTAGGCTTATCCACTGGAGCAAGTGAGAATACACATGAACCCCCTACAATGTGACAGCCCTTCAAAGATTTTTAAAACAGTATGGTGTATTTCCTCAACCCTCTTTTCTGTGAGCTAACCTTACTTAGATCTTTTAAATGTTCCTGATAAGACTTTCCCCCCCAGTCCTTTCAGTATTTTGCTAGCTTTTCTGTGAACTTCCAATTTATCATTCTTAATTACTTGGCCAAATTGGGAAGAAAACATTAAGGGTTTATCCTTGTCCATGCTATGCAGTTTATGTCTAATTTTACAGAAGAAGTGTATAAAACTGTTTACAGAACTTTCCTTCTCTGAGTAAACCATTTCTAGTCCAGACAACAGAAAAAATATAATTTTAAAAATATCTGTATTCTTTCTAACATTTCCACATTCACATTTTTGCTTGTGATTCCTAGTCAGCAATCTATCTACTTGTGTTAAGCAGAAGATAAGTAAGGAACTTCCATTTTCTATTACTATTACTATTCTTAAAATATCACTTAGTAAAAACTTCTCTCTGTTATTTAAAGATGAATATAGATTGCAGTTCTTAAAAACTTAAAAACCAAAAATTGCATTAAGCTGCAGATGAAAATTGATGTATACATATTTATTCTCATATACTTTTATGTGCACTTTTATATAATGAACAATTTTGTACATAATGTACATCCATCAGCTATTTTGTCTGATAATGTATTATATCTTTATTTTTGTAATATGAGATGTTTTCATTTTTTCCTATAAACTTTGTTATCATTGTTATCAGGCATTCAGTTATGTCCGAACCTGGTTCATTCTATGAAACAACACTTTTCATGCTACTCTATCTTGCACCACCTCCTTCAGACCTTCCATGGCCATCTGGATGTCAACCTTTATAGCCTATGTGTACTAGGGTGACCCTTCTCCTTTTTCCGCTGATCACTTCCAGCATGATTGGGATTTTTTAGGGAGTCAGCTCACACGACATGGCCAAAGTATGATAGCTTGTGTTTGGCAATCTTGGCTTCAAATGAAATTTTTGGTTATGCTCAGTCTAAGATTTTTATTTGTGATTTTTGTAGTTCATGGGATGCATAATAGTCATCTTCCCACAACTATCATCATAGTAAGATATGATTGGACTTTGTGTGGGGAGTTGCAAAAATCATATCCGTGTAAAATAATCATGTTTCAGTTTAGATGTGAATGGATTTTCCATCCCCTAGTTATTAATGAGCAAATCCTACTACGTTTCATGGAATAGACTTTTGAGGCAATACTTCTGTATTGCAGAAATATAAAAATTAGAATGTAAAGGAATAAATTCTATCCAATATACCAATTATAGAAAATATGACTAACAGAAAAGAACAATTTTCTCTTTCTATATTTGTTTGATTAAGTGAAGCAAGGATACCAAATCAAATAATAAGTAAAACATTTTAGAGCTGATCAATAGACTATAGAGTACTTGACAGAGCCAAAGCAAAACCCCTTTGAAACATTTTACATGCATTAGACAGTAACAAGCACTGTGATATCATGTTAGAGGACAAAGAAATCTAGCACCTTTGAAAACTACATAATTATTGCTTATCAGGTTTAAGACATAATACAACTTAGTCTAATGCCTACACTGCTATTCTATTAATATATTGCTGAGCAGAGAAAAACCATCATTTCTCAGATGGCTTGATCTGAAAAGGGAATATAAACTATTCTGCTTACATGTTTGGCTTGCAGTACTTGGCTAAAATTGAGTGTCATAATGATTAGAACATAGAACAGATGTAATTTGAAGTCTTGCCCATCCATGTTAATATTTGATCCAGTCAAAGGAAGAGTTTCTGATTCATTTTTTCTTTCTACAGATGTTTAGTTTGCAGCTGAAATATATAGCATTTGTTCTAACAGAAAAATCCTGTGTTGTTTCTTCATTACAAAACATTACCTAGCATGCTCATTTTTTTGCTCTCAAAATAATTTTAATGGAGAAGGAAAGTGACTGTAGTATTTTATATTCTATATTATGTTTACAATATAAACAAAGGATCTGATCTGTTAGAAACATAAGAAAAAAGTTCCATTACAGAGTACAGTTACCTGTCATATCACAGTAAACTTTCAAAGGTCCCAGTGCACCACTGCCATCTGGATCTATCCAGTAAGAACCTGTTGTTTTGCCCAAATGTTTATATGCTTCACAGGAGAGTTCATAAAGAGCTGAAACAAACAAAACCAGTAATTCAAGTAAGTAAACTATTCAAAGATTCAGAAAAAGTACATTTTCAGAAAAAGTCATAACATAAAAAGTTGTGAAAGAAGCATTGTAAAACCCAATTGCCTGCACTAGAAAATGATATCAGGCATTTCTTATTAAATAGTATCTGAGCAGGAAATATTGCTTCAATTGCTAAATAGAGATGGTTTGATGGGATCAGAAGAAATGAAGATGTTTCAGGAAAAAAGCAAATATATGTTCATGTTCTTATAACTGCATATTTGTTTCATAACTGCAATAGTTATTCATTTGTCTGTACCATTTTTATTTATGTATTTATTGATACTTTTATGCATAATATATTGCATAATATATAATGTAAAAAAATAAAAAATGTAAACATAAAAAATAAGCATAACAATATCAAAACAATAAAATAATAAAAACAAACAAGGAAAGTACCATAATATGAATGGAGGTGGAGCAGGAAGTACGAAGTAGGGTCAACTGATTAATTAAATAGCCACCCTCAGTGTGGTACTCTTCTATTGGGTTGCCAGGCCAACAGCAGAGCCAGGACTCCAGCTTTGTAAAATGATAAGTGGGCAAACCTCACCCCAGGGGGTGAGTGCTGCAGCAGCGAAGCTCTTCTCCTGAATCCCATCAGCCAGGTTTCCTTGACTGAAAGACTCCACAGCAGGCCACCTTTGTTGGCTTTGGAGTTTAGGCTTGTATTAAAGGATGGGATGGTCCATCAAGTAATCCTGACTCATGCCATGGAGGACTTTGTAGGTCATAACCTACACCTAGGGAAGCACCCAGAAGCAAACCCGCAACCAGTTCTGCTTACAAGACAGTGCTGTATTATGGGCTATTATTCTATAGCCCAAAAGTCTTCTTGTGATGCCTCTTTGTACTAATTGAAGTTTTCAAATGTATTTCAAGGGTAGCCCCATGTAAATCTCATTGCAATAGTCCAGATTAGAGATAACTAGGGATTGACCAGGTGCAAGGAATCCTGATTCAGGAAAGACCACAGCTGGTGCATAAATTGAAGTTGTGCAAAGGCTCTCCTGTCACCAGCTCTCTTTGGACAGGAGTCAGGAGTACAGGAGAACACCTAAGTTGCAAACTAGATGGATAGTGCAACTCTGTTCAGAACTAGATCTCCATGCATCTAAAGCCACTTGGTCTTGCCAGGGTTTAATCATAGCCTGTTGTCCTCCATCAAGAGTCTACAGTCTTATGGCACCATGAAAAGGAAGTGTCAGTATCACTTGGGATATCTAATGTGGAGATATAAAGTTGAATATCATCAGCATATTGATGATACCTCAACCCATGTTGACAGACAATCTCACCCAATGGCTTTAGGTAGATGCTAGACAGGAGTGGGGAGAGTATCAAGCCCTATGGCATACCATAAGAGAATGGCTGGGGGCTAGGTCACTATGAACACTGGGATTAGCCTTGCAGAAAGGAGCTAAATCAATATAGAACTATGTCACCCAACTCCAAGCTCTGCAGCCACTCTGAAAAGATACCATGGTTGATGGTATCAAAGACTGTTGAGAGGTCAAGGAGAGGAAGAATGGTTGTACTACCACGCTTCCACAATCACCAGAGTTCATCCATAAGTGTGGCCAATGTGGTCTATGCCTCATAACCAGGTTTGAAACATGCCTGAAAGGAGTCCAGGAAATCTGTTACATCTAAAACCCACTGAAACTGCCAAGCAACAATTTTTATGTCACCTTCCTTACAAAGGGAAGATGAGAAACTGGCATATTGGGGTTGAACAGTTACTAAATTTGTTTATTGTAATAAAGATTGGAAGACACTTCTTGAGATAATTCTTTTTTTTTATTATTATTTTCTCTTTTCTTCTTTCTTGCATGTTTAATTCTTCCTGCTCTCTTTTCTTTCTATGTTTAATTTATATCAGTTTACTATTTTAATCAAAATTCTTAATAAAATTTATATAAATAGAAAATCCTTAATAAAATATTTTCTATTTATATACATTGTATTAAGGATTTTGATTACAATAATTATTGCAAAAAATAACATATTTTGAAAAATCTGGCAACTGAAAGTTTTCTTTCTCCCACTATGATAGGACAGAAATGTTCACCAGCAAAATTATATATTATTGGAATTATTTCTAGGTACAGAAGATGATGATTAGTCAGAGAAAGAGTTATTGAAGAAAGCTTTCTCTAGAAAAAGAGAAAAAGAAATGTTCTCTAGTTAATGTGAGCCAATGAAAATTAAGCATTTTTGAAAGAAAGGATTGCTTTCAATCTGTGATTTTAATTCAGATTTGAATAAAATAATCAATTTAACCATTTCTGCTTTATCTTCCTTGCTGTGGAAATAATATGTATTTCTATCTGCACCTAATAATCTTTGTAAATTATCACCATTTATATTAACAAGATTCACTGTATTCTTTCAAATTCTTTGAACTTACAGGGAAAAATAGACTTTTTCCCATCCATTTTAAAATGCTAAACTTTTTAAAATACATTTCTAAAATCAAAACCTTTTAATACATCTTTTTCTTTTAACTTCTTAACATACATGCTTTGAAATTCAGTATTAAATTTAGGTCCCTCCCTCCAATCCCCCCTCATAGAATAATATTTTTTTTTGTATACATCCTTTTTAAAACTCTAAATTTTTCTTTAAACTAATACATCTTTTTTTAAAACTTTCTTTTAACACAGGTGCTCTCAAATACATTTTCAATAACATTTTGGATATTTTAGGAATTACTTAGTTTGAGAAGCAGTATGCAGTGGCAGCCAAAAAAGCCAATACAATCCTAAATTGCATTAACAGAGGCATACAATCAAGATCAAGTGAGCTACTAATACCACTCTATAAAGCTTTAGTAAGACCACACCTAGAGTACTGCATCCAGTTTTCGTCACCACACACAAAAGATGTTGAGAGTCTAGAAAAAGTGCGAACTAAGGACAACATCGGTGTTAAATCCATTGATTTAAATGGGTCTATTCTATGTATGACAAAGTCGAATTTTTATAGGCTTTCAAAAAGAGATTGGGCTGCCATTTGTCAGAAATGGTGTAGGGTCTCCTGCTTGGGTGGGGGTTGGGCTAGATGACCTACAAAGTCCCTTCCAACTCTGTTAATCTGGAATCTATAATCAGCTTCTATTCAGAATCTCCAACCAAATCCATCATCCAGGCCTCCAACCACATTTGTTCTGACTATTTTGACAAGGATTCTAATAGATGGCATTAAACTTGATATTCAGGACACTGAACTCTTCACCCAACAAGATCAATATACAAATCAATAGAGCCAGATTGATTCCCAGAGAGGACTTGTTAAAAGACAGGCCATAAAAACAGAACAGAACATGGGGAGGTAGAGGAAAAAAACAAAAAGCCCACTTGGTCCGTATTCACTAGCATGATGGCAAATCTCTCTTTCAGCTCACCCAGTTCAGGCATTGGGAGCTTGAGAGGTATATTGTGCATCCTGAAGTGCTTCTGTTGCTCCTCCAAGTCCAGCTCTGGTTGCAGTTGATCATCTAAATCGCAGAGGCCACCAGTGGGCTTGTTAAGGCATGCAATATGCTGCCACTAACGTCCTGGGTTCCTCGCATGAGTGCTGGAAGTCTGGTCCCTACCTATCCTTTATCCACCCCCTTTCTTCCAAAGCTTATGTGGGGAACCCAGGAGCTTAGCGGCAGCATATTGCATGCCTTAACAAGCCTGCTGGCAGCCTCTGGGGTTTAGATAGTCAGTTGCAGCCAGAATTGGGCTTGGGGGAGCAGCTTGTTAAGGAGGACTGCTCCTCCAAGGACTGCTCTGCTTCAGCCATGCATTTTCTAGCCCAGGCTGCTTGGACTGAAATGCATGCAATATGCTGCTGCTCCCAAGTTCCTCGCATTAGAGCTGGAAGAAAGGGAGCCCGATTGTGGTGGGAAGGAGGCAGAGGGCGGGCTTTTCCAAGGCTGGTCCTAGAGGGAGACAGAGATCAGTGTGTCACAGCTCTAATTCTTAAAAAAATTGGGGGGGTTGTATGTGTGGAGTGCTGGGGGAATCAGTGCCTGGAGTGAGAGGGGACCACAGGCTGACTGGATGGGAAAGAATGCTCTGCAGCATCCATTGCAGGTAGGCAATGAGGAGGAGGAGGAGGCAGTGTCGGCGGAAAGCAGGCTGGGCCGTGTATACCACATGGAAGGCTGCAGTGAAGGCAGGCAAGCAGGCTGGGCTGTAGGCACATGACATGAAGAGGTAGTGGCTAAGGCAGGCAAACGGGCTGGACTTTGGAAGCAGCGTTAAGAGACCACAGGAAAAGGCAGGCAAGCGGGATGGGCCGCAGGGGCTGTGCAGGAGGCAGCAGGGCAAGGAGCAAAGAAAGGCTCACTAGGCAGAGATCTGCAGGCCACATGGTCAAGGCAAGCAAGGAAATCAGAGAGCAGCAGCAGCTATGTTGCAGGCATGACTCTAGGCAAGGAGTCTAGATGAGTGAGGTGAGATAAGGAGTGACTGGGAGGAGTGGGCCATTAGTGTGATTAGCCAGTTCTCCAAACTGCATAAAAAATTAAAAATCGGTTTGCTTGAACTGGTCCGAACTAGCTGAATCCCATCTCTCGCTACAGCCCAGGAAAAAACCCTTCAGGGATCTCTCCCTGGCATGTCTTCAGTTGGCTATCTTAACCAAAGTTTGAAGTCTAGATTTAGTCCATGCAAACATTTTTTTTATGGAAGCATTGTAAGTATCTCCAAATACTATTCTTCGTCATAAAATAAATAATAAAGAAAAGAAATGTATGCATGCATTCATATTCTATGCATATAAAACATTGGATATAATCTTTAATAATCACTCCTCCTTCTGAGTCATCTTTGTTAAGATAAAGAGACCCATAATATAGTTAGGTAATTTAATAATTACCTTCAATAAAAGAAAATGCTTATCAAAGAAATAGGTTAGCTGTGATTCTTCTTCTTTTGTGTGTGTG